TGGGCACAAACTGAAATACAGGAAAATCCATTTAAACATAAGAAAAAAAAGCGTGATCGATAACTGGAACAGGTTACCCAGAGAATTTGTGGAGATAGCCTTGGAGATATGCAAAACCAGACTGGACATGGCCCTGGGCAACAGGGTCTGAGCAAGGGCTTGGAGTAAACATCAAGAGGTCCCTTCCAACCTCAACCTCTCTGTGAACTAGGCCATCATCCTGAGGCAAAAAAACCTCACAGCATCAGCCTCTGTTTGGGAAACACAGCTGCAGCTACCACAGGCAAACAGATCCCACAGCCTTTCCTCTGTGGTTCTCCTTAGACATGTCTCTCCTGGCCTTAAACATCTGCAGTGACCCTCCAGTCCCTCTTTCATGCTGCAACACAAAGAGCTTCTGCGGTGTTTCATATCAGCATGCTTCCCTGCCCTCTTCCTTCACAGCACCTCACGTATGCTAGATGGTATCTGAGGGTCCTATCAGCGTGTGGTTCAGAGACATTTTACGTGGCTCCTACCTTATGCACGGATCGTTTGTCCTCCGTTACAGACCAGCCTGGGGGCTTTGGAAGCCTGGTTGCCTCCTGAGGGCTGTGATCAACACACACATCTCTGTGGTCATAGTGTTGCTGCAAGGTGCCTAAGCCTTGTGGTAGAGCAGAGCGAGTAGGTCTTCAGGTTCTGTTGAGTCCTCTCCCCTGCACAGCCTTGCCGGACAGCTGTGCTGCAGCACTTCCTCTGCTTGATGCCACCTTGTGCCTCCTGAGCCAGGGACACCTGGGCCACATCAGCATCCTGAGGTCCTTTGCTCACCACCCCACTGCCTGCATGCTCTCACCCCCGAGCTCCAGCCAGCAGGTTTCTCTTCTCTCACAGCTCACACAGCCAGGAGAGTACCCATCAGGCTGGCTTATGAGCAGCCAGCCACCATTAGCATCACTGCAATGGAGAAGTGTTACAGATGGTCAGGTAGTAAGGGTAAGTGGGCAGCGAGACAATTCCTTACTAGCTAGATTGCACACTGATTATCGACACCAATTAAATAGCCCATCACTGAACCCTTTGGGGCTTACAGGTCTCTCTCACCCTTTCACTTCTGTCAACACAGGGCCCAACAAGTGAGGCTCTGCCACCCATGTGAGATGCCGAGGCCTTGGTTTGGTTGCCCCCTGAAGCTCTCGGGTGCTTTGGCTGTACCTGTGCTCACACCGAAGTGCAGACTGGAGCCCTGCTGCTGGCCCCATCATGGCCATCTCCTGCTCCATCCCTGCCCCAGGCTCCAAATCCATCACAAGGGGCCATTTGGGTGCAGGAGTCTCTAGCCGAGGAGAGTTGAAGACACCTTCTCCAGCCTAGAGAGCGTCTATGCTATGTGCCAAACTGCTCGGTGTGCCCACCTCCCTGCCCAGAGCTGTGCAAGCATGACTCAATTCAGCACTTAGCTGAAGGTCCCTGTACCTCCAGCTGCACAGGGTGATCTAATACCAGATATCACATCCTCCTAGCCTTGCTTATCTTCAGTTTCAGCAGGGCACTTCAAATCCACAGTTGCTGAGTACCATTGCTAGCTGTTGAAAGCACCATATTAGAAAACCTGAATGATGAGGTTAGTGAGGCTAGACCTCACTGGAAAGTGTTGTCACCATTTATTTGCTCAGCAGATGATTGATATTCAAGACCAAACTGACATGGAATCTTCTCCTACGCAGGAGGAGGAGGTGCTACAGAAACCCTCAAGTACTAGTGAGCTGTTGGTGCCGGGCACCTACCCTGTGCATGCAGCCCGTGCCCATCCTCCAGCCCCACCGGCTGGCCCTGCTCCTCCTGCCCAGGCTGCACAGCTGCACAGCCCCCACATGCCCTACCTCCGGCAGGACCCGCTGCTGATCTTGTGGCGTTAAATCTACAGGTAACATCACTTTGTTTTATCCTTTCGCTATCTGTGAACTGCTGCTCAGGGTTCTGCTGTGGCTGGGACAGTTTCTGCAGGGCAGTGCAGTCCCTGTGATGCAGAGGTCCAAGCAGTAGGTTGCGATCTCTGAGCCTTTCAGTTTCTGTTCTTACTTCAAGGTATTCTCCAGGTACTCTACCTGAAAGATCAGAGCATATTACTTCCTAACAGCAGCTGGGAACTGGAAGCTAAATTCATCCCAACATGGGAAATGAGTGATTCCAAAAGATTTCTTTTTTGTCTAAGTGAACCCTTGATCCCCTTCCACAGTCTTTCAAAGTAGTTCTGTGGTTATGGTGACTATGTTACTGTTTTCAAGGGATTCAGTGATAGATGAGCCTGAAAGAACAGAAGTTTCAAAAACAAAAAGAAAAAAGTGCTGTGCTTTAGATCATTGTGCTTGAGAGAGCTGTGAACAAGAGCATCAAGGTCAGAGCAGGCAGTTTCCAGGTTTCTTTTTGCTATTTGGAAACAGAGAGGAAAAGCCCCTCGCTTAAGTTAGCCTCACCTAGGGCTCTTCTGCCACGGAGGCACTTTGTCTGCTCACTCTTTCTGGCTGTGCTTCCCTCCCAGGTCAGCTTGCCAGGGCCCGTGGTTAACACCCCTGTGAAGTATTGCCCTGTCCAAGTCTACTCTCAGACCTGTGCAGCATATTTATTAAATCTTTGCTGATAGTTACACATTCAATTTATAGGAAAGTTGGTGAAAATCAGGGCAGTTGCCATAGAGGTGGCAGGTTCGAAGGCAGTTGATGCAGAAGATGCCATGCTGTACCCCTTCCTTCGCACCCCATTTCCTTCTTCCTCTCCCTCTGCTCAGTTCCAGGTCCCTTCCCCAGCCCAGCAGCCCCCCCTTGGCTCCCATGATGTCCTTAGTCATTTCACCCACCACATTCACCCTTCACTCCTCTGGTACCTGCTCACTTCTGAGTTCCCCCCACAAGGCGGGAGGAGGATTTTACACACAAGACTCCCCCTCCAGTGCAGCTGCTTCCCCATGGGCATCTCACTGGGAAACACACTGGGTGCTTGCCACCACGGTGCTACTGCAACTGCCACTGAGCCTTCAGCCTCTGCCTTGCTCCTCTTCCTCCAAACTCCCTGTTAAGGGTCTGGAAGGAGCCTGCTACTTCTTGAGCTGTTGGAGGAAATGAGCCCAGCCCTAGCCTTCTCCCCAGCTGGTCACCAGCTTCTATGGAGAGGGACAGCTGCTGATCAGCTCTCCCCAGGCTATGGTGGGGGGGGGGAAAGCAGAACACACTCCACAGTACTAGTGACCTTGTGTGTCAAGCCCCAGCCCGTTCCTTGTCCTCCAGCAGCAGCAAGAGGACAAAGCTGTAGGTTGCTGCCTAGCCCCTCTGATGCTGCACCCTTCTCACCTACCTCACCTTAAGCATTTCCAGCAGCCACAGGATATGCTAGCTTATCAAATGGCATCTCTTTAAAAACATTTTGTGCTCAGCCATACCCTATCCGTGCTATATGTGACCTGTTTTAAAATGCTCTGCTCGTTTCCTCCCTCCTCCCCCCAGTCTCTGGGCTGCCTCCTGCCCTGGAGCACTTGCAAGCCCTGAGCTGCACCAAAGCCCCGGGGCAGGTCACAGATGCTGGGAACTGGATTTGGGCCACATCTCCAGCTCCAAAGGCAGTGTCAGCCAGGGCCCTTTCACGCTGCAGAGCCCACCAGCGTGGTTTGCCTGCGTTGTACTTCAGCACGGAGGCTGCTGCTGGCATTGCCGACCAGGGCCAACGAAAACCAAACTGAGCATCAGCCATGCCAGCAGACATCTGCCTCGTGCAGTTAGGAGCATAACGATGTGGCAGCTTCGGCCCTTAATGTGAGGTGTTTCCCTGCTGCTACTTACTGTAGTTCAGAGAGGTTTTCTTTGGGCGATAGCTGTCAGCTTCCTCCCAGGGTGCGGGCAGCGAGCAGCAAGCCTCTGTTGGGAAACCCAGGCCTGAGCACACAAGAGTTGGGAAGAGAGCTCTACACAGGAGTCACATCAGTGTCCACTAGTGCCCTATACACTTGCATATCCCCCACAGCAATTGAGTTAATTGTGTGTTTATCAGTTACTTCAGAACTGAAGTCTGATTTTGCAGGCAGTGCTCTCACCAGCTGACCAGAAGGTCTGCATTGCTTGCAGAGGCAAATAACTGCTTAACCAGGCATGTTCAGTCACAGTGTCCCTGCATGTCTGAAAGCTGTAGGATTTCACCAGATCCCTCACAACATCACTCTCCTGTTAGAGTGGTAAAAAACTTATTTTAAATTAAAAGGTTAAATTCTTTCCAAAGTGCATTTAGATGCAAGCAGAAATTCAGTGACATCAGCACAGAAGCATCAGTTCAGAGAATTGTTCCGTGTGCACCTCACATGAAAGCTGATTTTTATCAGCCCATGAACTCACAGTCTTCACACAACCAATACTCTTGCAAAACATCTAATAGCCAATGTGGCAGAGGCTCAGTACCTACTACTTGCATCTCACAGATTTCCCGGGGTGTCAGGATGCCTGCCTTGAGCAGGTAGAAGAGCTTTTGCTCATGGGTTGTGCTGGGCTTTAGCTGTGGTTGCTGCAATCCTTGCCTAGGTCAAAACCAAGCTAAGGGTAATTTTATCTTATTTGTACAGCTTGGCTTAAGGAATTAGTGTTCATGTTGTCACAGGATGCCCATGCTATCTACAGGAGCTCTTCTAAGTGCTATTCTGCTCCCCCCTTCAAGATTCCCCTATTTAATAAAGGCTGTCTGTCATATCCTATTGGAAGAGTACGTTGAAATATTTACTCATATACTGAGTAAACATAAACAAAGCTTGACAAAGGATGCATCCCAGTTACAGGCTGACTGAGAAGGCCAGCTTTGTAGACTCAAATTCACATTCATAACAAAGTAAATAAAATGCACATTCATAACAAAGTAAATATTTACTTAAATACCCTTTTTTATAGGAGCCATGCATCTTTTAAGAGACAGGAGGAAAGTCTTATCATGTCTTTTCCCATTTCAGGACTCAGAACATCATACAACATCTACACATCGGGACAATGAATGTGTCCAACAACTGCAATGTCACAAACCTAGAAATATATCACCATGTTCGTCTCACTGAATTTGCTCTGTATAACCTCATTTTCTTTTTTGGAGCACTATTTAATGCCCTTGCTCTCTGGGTGTTCTTCTGCAAGATAAAGAAGTGGACAGAAACCAGGGTGTATGTAATCAATTTAGTCTTTGCAGACTGCTTCGTCATCTGCACCTTGCCTTCCATGGCTTATTTGCTATGGAATAAGTCAACCCGAGATGAACTCTGCCAGTTTACAGAGGCAATGTATTTTATCAACATGGTAGTGAGCATCTACATCGTTTCATTTATCGCCATCGATCGATACATTGCCATAAAGCACCCCTTGAAAGCCAGGACCTTCAGGTCTCCATCAAAGGCTGCCCTTCTCTGTGGGCTTCTGTGGGTCTCTGTGATAATCGGTGCCACGTTGCAGCTCTGGTGGAGACACGCTGATCTCTGCTTTCAGAAGGATACCACCATGCCCACTGCTCTGAAGCTGCTTTCTATTTTCTTTGTTTTTACTCTTCCATTAGCAATCTTGACTTTTTGCTCCATCGAAGTAATCAGGAACCTTAAGAGACGTCTGAACAAAAATTCACCAGAGGATAAATTAATCCAGAAAGCTGTTCACATTATTTATGCAAATATGATTGTATTTCTAATATGCTTTTTACCAGCCTACCTTGGGCTACTTGCCAGGTTCATAATGGAGAGCGTCGGAGCTACCTGTTTCCTGCTCCAGGTTATGAAGAACTTCTCCTCTGTGACGAGGTGTATTGCCACATCCAACTGCTGCCTGGATAGCATCTGCTACTACTTTGTGACCAAGGAGTTCTATGAAGCCTTTCCACTGCCCAAACTCAGCACTGAAAAAACAGATCAAATCCACCTCTCGCAGACACACACTTGCTAAAGAAAGATATTGGGGGGGGGGGGGGGGTGGGTGCAGCAAGGGGGACAAAAAATGCCAAACCCAAAAAACCCCAGGACAACTCTGTAACATCAAGATAAGACACAGCTTCAGCGTTATTTGGATAACTATGGCTCTTTCTCTCTAGGGAGATCTTTGTTAGGTTTAGCATTACTAAGTTAATTGGGATTTATACTTTATGTTTCTATTAAACAAATAAGTTATTTCACAGCGATGTGTAAATGTGTGCATGTAATCGCTGGCCGTTAACATGTCTCCAACCCACCCTCCAGCACCTGCTTGTTACTCTTACAGGCAGACAGGCGAATCATGTATGTCTCACTGGTTTATTTCATTTTGCAGCTTAAGTCAATTCGTCCTCATTGTCAACATGTACAAAAGAATATAGCATGTTTTATCCCATTGTGTATTTCAGGTTGTTTGCATTAATAAAATAGTCCATTTTATTTTTATCATATTCCTCTGGTGAGCTGGGAGGGTTCAGGCAGTACCAGCATATTACTAAGTACAAGGTCCTACAAAACAGCCTAGACTCTGCGGACTGCCCTTTCCCTTCAAGTCAATGGGTCAGACAGATGTGAAGGAACACTTTTAGGATGAAAGCAAGATTTGTCCAGTGCCATAAAGGCACAAAGTCCCGGAGATTTCTGAGCTGAGTCCTCCTGCCGGCTCCTCTCCTGCTGCACTGCAGAACCCTGGCACAGAGACACCTCCTTGCAGCGGCCATCCCTGCGGGGCCGCTGCTCCCACCCATGGGGAAGGCCTTGTAACTCCGTCTAGACCTTTGCCACCTGTGCATTGCTATTCCCTGGGTTTATGTTGTGGCACCAGGCTGGCCCCCAGGTTCACCCTCCCGGCTGCAGCTCAGGGTCGGAGTATCACCCCACAGCGAGACACAGCTGGGTCCAGGTTGCTGCATCTTGCCCACATTGAGACCCCTAACGTTTCCATGGGGGAAATGCATTTGTCCATGAGTCAGCAGCCTAGAAAGATCAGGGGAGATCGGGAGTGCATTGACCCCTTACATGTTATTCAAATGCTCCCTAGGACTGGGCTTTTTTCTCTCTAAAAACTGAAAAATCTCCAAAATGGCCTCTGAGCTCTGCCCAGGCAATGCTCAGAGTGCTCCAGGAGAGAGTGTGGAGGAGCCTTCCCTGCCCACTTACACAGTTTCCCCTGTGACCTACATCGGCCTTCAGGGAGCCCGCGGCTGCTGCTCAGTCTGCTGCGGTCGCCTTGGAACCACCAGCTCAGGACCCAGGAATTAATAGGACAAATCCTGAGGGAGTCAGAGTCTGGCTCCTGTCAGCTGGCTCACATAGATGGAACTGCAACTGCTGCAGCCAACAGACAAGTAAGGCCATCAAAATTACTATAAAATACCACTGGGGCACGTTCTTAAACATGTTTTTAAAGGTCCTGACACCTATGGTGTGCTCACTGCCATACTGGTATCTCTCACCTGTGCCCAGTTGGTAGTGACTATGGTTACCAGCTTGGGCTTTCCAGTGATGCTGATGAGCAGCGCTAGACACCTGGCTGCTTCGCAGAGGACAAGTAGGCTCATAACACCTGTCCCCTTTTTGCAAAGGCACCGAAGAGAAGCATGCTGGGTCCCCTCACCCTGGGCTCACTGTCACAGAGTGCACGAGCGTTGACGTGTCCCCTCGGAAAGGCCATCGGCCCCCCCCGGCCTGGGGCACGCTCTGCAACCGCACCGGCGGCTGTGTGGGCTGCTGTGCTCCCTGGGGGACTTTTCACTGCCAGAAGGGCCATTTGCAACCATTATGGGGTTTATTTCAGAAATTATGTTTTCCCACGATTGAAAATATTAAATTTTAATTGCTAGTTTGTGTGAGGTGAGTGGGGGGAGCACAGAGTGGGAAAAATGACGGTGCAGCACTGAGCGGATTGAGTCGAACAATAGAGGGCACCAGAGACTCGACCATCCCAAAAAGTAGGTGATAAATGAAGCACTTTTGAGGAACAAGAGTTCATTGCTGTGTTTCAGCGCTCCTGAGCTGTCAACAGCAGGCTCCCAGGCAGCTGTGCAGTGCACGGAGCAGCACCTTGCACTGGCACCTACGGCCTCGACAGATCTCCTCCCCTGCCAGGACACCCGCATCTACACTGCAACCTTTCCGAGGACTAAATCCACCTGACAGCCCCACAAGAAACAGGTAATGTCTTGGTGTGCTTGCTCACCTCTTAATTGAAGCGCTAGCCAGGGCTGTCTGATTGTTAACATAATCCTCAGCGGTACACAGATGCCTCGGTTTCCTCCTGCTTTCACAGCTGTTTTGCCTCACTGTTTTGCAGCCATTTGCCATTCAGGGGGGGTCTTCATCCCTCGCTGAGGTTTCACAGCAGTGCTGCTTACCATGCCTTTTCTGTGAGCGTGGAGACACCCGGTTCCAGGCATGCTGCGGCATGGGATCTTGGGAACCGCCACCGGCTCTGTGCTTACATGCGGGATTCGATGGGGCTGGGACGCCCAGCCCAGCCCGGAGGGCTCAGCTGCTCCTTGGGGCAGTGCTATGCATGCAGAGACTGGCTTTTCACTGTAGGATGACCGCCGTAGGACGGCATGGAATGGCTGCAGGGTAGGTGATAGCATAGTACAGCCAAAGACCTATGAGGCTGACAGCCCAAGAGAGCTAGGACACTGGCTGTGTGTTAGTTCCTCCATAAATTCCACTCTAAAAATGACTGTAACCCTGTGGTTCAGTAATGCCGTACCAGTTCTGGCGCCAGGGCAGGTGCTGCGCTTTCCTCCGTGGTTGTCAGATCCATCTCCCAGACGTTGTTAGTTGAACATTTTCACTACAGTTTAGATGTTGATGCTTAGAAGCCGCTGACTTATAAGGCAATATATTTATAAGAGATTGTAGGAATCTGGGCATTTTTCTTTCGTGCCTCACTGTAAACACTTCCTTTATGAGCTGCAGACTAAGTCTAATTCATACTCTGCAGCCTTCTTCCTGGTAGCGGATGCTCTGAAATACTAAAGGACTTCCAGGGAATAGTCTAAGTTCTTGGATTCATGTTTTCTGCCCTAGCAACATTTTGGCTTCCCGTCTTTGAAGGTTGAGATCAGACACATGTGCTCACTTTCCCTTCTCTCTTTGGAGACCTGTTATCTGCTGGGGCTGGTGGTACCCATGCTGAGCTATTCCTTCGCAGCGTCCGGCAGCGAGAGGACCAGGTTTGTGCTTGGGGGTAGCCTGCCCGCAGTAGTCCACCACCCACCACCCCAGGAGTAACGCCACCTGAGCTAACCCATGGCTGAACGGGCTCGAGTCCTCTGCAGGTTCACAAGCCTGGCAAGATCCAGAGCAAATCTACGCGGTGGCTTCAGCAGCAAGGCAAGGACCTTGGAGGCAAAGGGGGAATGCTGCCCAGCTCTGCTTTAGGCTGCCCTAAAGCCAGCAGCTCTCTGATAACCCCAGCAGCAGCAAAGATAAGGGAGCACAAAAATTATCATTCTGCTTTGCAGACCCTTTGCTATTACCCAAACTGTGCAAACCAGGACTGGATGGAAGGCAAGGCAGGCTTAACCCTGTAACAGCTGCAAGAGAGGGTTGCCTCTCTGGTTTTGTGTTAGCTGGTGCTGACAGTGCTGCTCTGGTAGATGGTGCTGATGAGCCACCGAGCCCCTCCAGGGGCTGCCTACACATGCAGTGCAGGGGTGTGAGGGGCCGCAGGGCCACGACAGCCGGGGCACTGCAGCAGGACCCAGCCCAGAGGACTGGTCCCCGAGCGCGGTCTCATGCCTGCATCCTTTTCTTGCAGAGAGTGCCCAACATGGAGAACTGCACTGAAAACAATATGCTGCAGAATGACACTGCACAGAATATTTGGCTATTTCAACTTACCGTCTACATCCCGGTGCTCATTTTGGGGATCCCACTGAACATCATTGCTTTCTGGGTCTTCTGCTGCAAGCTCAAGAGGTGGACCGAGACCAGGGTGTACATGATCAACCTCATGGTCGCAGACAGTTTTCTGCTCTTTGCCCTGCCTTTCCTGATATATTTTACCAGCTACGACCATCCCGTAGACAATCTCTGTTTCACCATACAGAACATCTATTTTGCAAACATGCCTATGAGCATCCTTATTATCACCCTGATTGCAATTGATCGATACATTGCAATCAAGTTCCCTCTAAAATCAAATATTCTTCAATCCCCACTGAAATCAGCTTCTATCTGTGGGTTTCTTTGGGTAGTACTGATAATTTATTCCTACTTGCATCAAAAATTTCATAAAGCAAAGGAAAACTTGTGCTTTCAGAAAGAGTCTACTGAACCTAACTATTTAACGTTATTCTCCATTATCTTTGGGTTTATTGTTCCCTTAGGGATTGTGATTTTTTGCTCAGTACAAGTCATCAAATGTCTCAAAAAGAAAATGGCTACGAGCCCCCATGAGACAACGTTAATCCAGAAAGCAATCCACATTGTTTCTGTGAATTTGTGTGTGTTCGTTGTATGTTTTTCACCTTTCTACATCACACTGCTCTTGCGGTTTGCAGTGGATGTTGCTGGAGCTTGTTCTCTGCTCTCAGAAGTTAGAGCCTCTGTTCGGATCTGTGCATGCTTAGCAAATTCTAACTGCTGTTTGGATGCAGTTTGCTATTACTTTGCTGCCACGGAATTTCAGGAATTTTCTTCTCTGTTCCCCACTTGTATATCAATGAGGTCCAAGACGAACCAAAGCCAAGAGTCACAGCCACCCACAGAACAAGTCATGATATAAAAGGTGTAGTGCACTGTAGGTGTTAAGAGCCACAGTGCTGAAGCGAGGGAATGGGACCACCTACAGTATTTGCAATCGTTATAGGTATAGGCATACCTGCAAAAAGGGGCAACCCCCTCCAACGGGTCTGATATTAACTTGAATTTTGTCCTTCTGTCCTCAGTGACTTGACTCCAGCTCTGACTATTGTCTTGGACTGTTGTATCGCAGCTTCAGGCATCTCCTGGTCCAGAGGGAAAGCCATGTGGTATGGAGAATAGATAAGGCTATTGTTTCTGCCATGCGCTTATTTGTACGTATCACACAGCTAAACATAGGAAACTGAGCACCCTTACAGCAATACACAAATCCACTTCTAATACTGTAATATATATGGTCACTTAAAAACCAAGAGAAAGCCCCTGTACTACAATGCCAAACCTAACACATCTGTGCTGCTCACATCAAAGAATTTGCCCGTACAGTGGTAGTTTCCTGCCAACCTATATCATTTCAAAGCTCATATCTATCACCAAGGTGCAGCTATTGCTGTGCATGGAGTAAACCGCAGGAGTTAGCGCCGTGAGTCTGTTGCTCCATTGCTGCCATAGAACACTTGTATTAGCTTGTGGCAATGCCCTGGCATTTGTGAGACTAAAATATTTGTGGGTATAAATAAAGCCATTTCTGCGTGGATAAAATGAGCTACACAAAGCATTGTGGACCACAGAACAGATCCTTCGTATTCTGCATATCAATTATAAAGCTGTGAAGATCTTATCTCACCCAAGCGACTACCGTAAGCCCTGGTGACAGGTTTGTTGTTGTATTTTAATGGGATCAAATCTTCAGTGGGTGTCCTGTCTGGTGAGAGGTGATTGCATCCGCCCTAGTTGTCACAGCCTCATGCTGCAGGAGTGTTGATGCCCAGAAAACAGCAGCAAGCAACACGGAGCAGATGCAGCCCTGATCCCTCCCTTACCACCCATGAACAGTTTTCAGGGGAGGTTGGTGAGAGTGGAGTGTGTAAGGCCCTTCTGCAGAGACAGGGCAGATCCACAGCCGAGGGCTTCTCAGCATTCCCTGCGTGATGAAGCATTGCTTTGGATTTGGGTTTTTTTTCTTTCAGCTGCTTGGACAGTGCAGGGTGGGGGTTCAACAGCTCTCCTATACCTCATTTTGAGACATTTAACTCTTTCCAATACAAATTACAGAGACCCTTGATCTACCCTACCTGGATACGGGATCAGGCATTGATTTTAATGTCTGGCTTTGCAGGTACCAAATTCCTCTATAATATCCCTGCTTGCTGACTATGCACGATGTATCCTCCCACCCCATGGGGAAGTGACACCAGAGCACTCAAAACAGTTTAGCCGCAAAGGGGCACTGGAAGGAAGTAGCACAAAGAGAAAGCTAGGCTGAGAGGGGAGCCAGTGCCAGGACGTGACTACTTGATGTTTATCTGCACAGAAATTTCATCTAACATTTTATCACATAGTCACTTCAATAACTTAAAGTCAGCATGGGAAACATTAGAAAGTTTTTGAAATGCATGTGATAGCTGTATCTTGGTTAGCTTCATGGTCCTTGACTTTCAGTGTCTTCTGACTTGTAAACCCCTAAAAAATTCCTCCAGGGAAGCCACACCCATATTCTGCTCATTTAAACCTATAGACAACTTTCTTAGTGACAACTTACAAATAGTTCCCCTACAAGTGGCCTGTCACCTTCTAGTGTCTGCAGACCACATGCTGAAACCACTGTCTTGACATTCACCAAACAATATAGGAAACAACTATTCCCCTCACAGAAAGTACTCCCCATGCAAACATTAGATCTACCTGCTTTATATCAATACTTTGGCAGAGGTCCGAGAATGATGGAAGGTACAGTGAGCAACTGTGGCATAAAAATGAGTTAAACTGCTCAGGTCATTCAGATGATCATTTATGTCCTAATTTTCTTCTTTGATGTATTATTTATGCTCTGGCATTACTAGTATTTTACTGCAAGCAGAGCAAAAGGGCTGTGTGTGCATGTGTGTGACCAACTTAATCATTGCACATTGTTGTTTGAACCTCAATCTGCCTTTAAAAGTCTGTTTTCAAAGACAGGAAAAGATACAAGAGACAAATAGTGCCTGATCTTAAAAACCATCTGTTGCTTAAGGAGATGCCTGAGCGTTATCACCCTTGTAGCTGTCCACAAAGAGGATGCAATTAACTACCCCTGGAGAACAAGAGGCTTAGGGTCCCTCTTAACCCATTCTCCTTTATGGCATGCTGTCAATCTTCATGACAGGCATCACTTACATGTCCAGA